CAGAGACTATGCGACTTCCATCCGACGAGACTGTGATAGATCCAATCGAGGCAGTGTGGCCTTGAAGAGGGGATCCTAATGCCACGCCGGTCTTCGCATCCCACACTCGGATCATCTGGTCGTATGAACCAGACACGATACAATTGTCATCCGGTGAGAATACAACAGATGAAACTGATTATGTGTGCCCTAGGAGAGGGGCACCCAATGCCTCACCAGTCTCCATATCCCACACCCGAATTGTGCTGTCTTCTGAACCAGACACGATGCATTTCCCATCTGGTGAGATTGCAACAGACAAAACATGCTTGGTGTGACCTTGAAGAGGGGTACCCACTGCCTGGCCAGTCTTCATATCCCACACCCAGATGGTGTTGTCGCCTGAACCAGAGACAATGTGATGACCATCTGGGGAGATCGCGACACAGTTAACGTGGCCAGTGTGTCCTTCGAGAGGGGTGCCCACTGCCTCGCAAGTCTCCATATCCCACACTCTGATCATCTTGTCACCTGAGCCCGATACTATGTGTTTTCCATCCTGCAAGATTGCAACGGAAAGAACAGGGCCAGTGTGCCCTTGGAGGGTACCCAATGCCTTGCCAGTTGCTACATCCCACACCCAGACCGTGTCATCATATGAACCTGAAACAATGTGATGTCCATCCGGTGAGAATGCAACAGACATAACAGCCCTAGTGTGGCCTTGAAGAGGGGCACACAATGCCTTGCCAGTCTCCGTATCCCACACCTGGATCATTTCATTATCTAAACCACATGCAATGCATTTTCTGTCTGGTGACATTGCAACCGAGTAAACCCAGCCATTCGCGTGGATTATCTTTTCTATCGGAGGCCAATTTTCGACATGGCCAGCAACAATGCGGGGGGTGTGAGGAAACTTTGCGGCAAACTTGCGAAATATTGTCGACTGTGTCGGAGCAAATGGTAGAGCAGACAGGTATAAATGGGGAGTGCTGTGTAGAATGGTGGTTGCAAAAGTTCGAATGAAACGCAGGGTATCCTTGATAGCGTCACCAACGTGCCTAAACTCACCATGACCCCGCGACCACACCACTACTCGTAAGAATTTGTTGGGAAAAGAATGAGCTTGAGCTACGCACCGAAAACCAATCTGCAATAGATGAGAGGGTCACTGCCGAGCCACTGAGGCTTCTCATCAAGGCCAGTGCTTCCAACCACCAAAGAAGACGCTCTCCGTCGAAGAAAGCCTCAACTTCTTTAGCGAGCGGTGGTTCGAAGGACGTAGAGCCGACATGAGTCCCCCAAAATCAACATGAGTATGATAGTTCAGCCGGAATAGATTCTTTGACTCGTTTCTCCAAATCAGGGACGGAAGAGTTGGGCAAGTAGGAATTCTCTAAGGAGCAGATGTTGAAGCGAAGCCTGCGCTCCAAGTTGCCCATGACCCGAAGCGAGGCAAAGGCAAGATCTCTATGCGCCGCTGATGCATCAAGAAAGAAGTCACGGCTCCGCGATTCGTCTGTGAGGAAGTCGTAGAATGATGCGTGAAGGGGACGTATGGGAATATCAGAATCTGAGGTGCTGGAGACAAGCGAGCCAAGATGCCCCATGAGCAACTTTACATCGTAGCGGTCATCATCATACGGGAAACACTGCCGCATCGTGTTCAACGCATTGATGGGAAGTGGTTCCGACGATGCAAGAATTTGACCCATCACGGACCGAAAGATAGGAATCACCTCCTCATGCATGTGCTTCGGCATGATATCTGCCAAGATGCGTTAATACATCTCATCCAGAAGATGTACGCCTTTGGCAGATGTTTCGGAAATGTTATGGAAACGGTGCATCGGGCCTCGGCTCACAATGTTCGTGCTCTTGATATATTCTGAGGCGAGACAAGCCCATTCAAACATGCCATTAGATTTCAGAGCAAGTGCCTTGAAGTGGGCATCATTGAAAATGTCACGCAGATCGTTTAGCATGTAGGAGATATAAAGTTCAATGTCGAGTGCCGTGGACGCAGACGAGATGTCATCCAAGGAAATATGGCGAAGATGTGGTGCAGCGTGTAGAGTGTTGTGAACGTCTTGGAGGGGATGGGAAGTGAGGAGAATTCGGAAGTTGGCTGGGAGTTCGGATAGCTGTGAGGCGGAAGTGTTCAATTTGCCAGCAAGTAGATCAAGAATCTGTTTCCGAGAATTAGCTTCGCCGCTCTCATCCAACGCATCAATGACTATCAGCACGGGTGCAGCGAAGGCATTTGACGGTCCGACAATGAGTTCCTGCCATTGTTTTGTGATATCTGCAGTCCGCTTGAGGTCATCGTCATCATGAACTGCCTGCACCAAGGCTCGCCGCACGATAGGGTTGCAGCCTGCCAAATCGCTTGCGATGGTCCTGAATATTTTATTCTGACAGCGATCCGCTTGCTCAGTACGATCGAAGCAGAAGAATGAGCCAAGACCTCCGTGTTCGATGTACCACTTGGCTATTGTATGGGCAACAGCAGATTTACCCTTGCCTGCTGTGCCAGACAACCACAAGATCCGTGGAGCACCCTCCTCGGTGCTGCTGATCCAGTCCTGAATACCTTCCAGAAGGTCTTGCCGGGTATTTGGCAAACAACATTTAAACCTATCCAATCCGGTGCCCGTTGCGTACTCCATGCCTACGAGGTCCAAATTCTCAGCTATGAAAGGATCATGGAATGTCAGTTGAGGCTTGAAGAGACCTGAAAATGATTCATACCCATATGGTGGACGATCACAAGGGTATCACGAGCCGCCCGGTCTCGGAATTGCTGCATGAGGTCATCTAGGGCATTGTTGTAGCTCTGGATCGTGCTGTCCGCTCCATCGAAAACGTGCTTGCCAAGTCTTATCCCTATACAAACAGGTAACATTGAGTTTGGTGGATGAAGCAGTGGGACCAACTCACAGGCACTCTTCGTCTCAGAGTAATGGCTGATGAAATCAGCACACACCAGCGTCTGCTGTGCTATCTTCACATATATCGCTAGCATAGATTCAATCTTAGCCAACTGCTCTTGCTCCGTGATAAAAGTATAGACTTCAGATATCTTTGAAAGCAGAAGGCGAACAGCGACATCACGGTCTGCCTGATCGAGAATCATCTGTTACCGAAACTTTGTCAACCTGCAATGGCGATGACTGAGAAAGAGGCCTACATTGGATGCACAAGTGAAGATGCTCAGTGCCACCTTCGCGTAGGGATGGACCTGCGCACGAATGTTAGTCGCGTACAGAAAAGAGATAGATGGTTTGTACATTTGCAATCGCGTTGGCGACGGAGTTGAATGCCTTCAAGGGTTTGAGCAACACGGAGAACGTATCGATCGTATCAGAAACAGATGGTAGGTCGTTGGTCGTGGAAGAAGCATCTTGGAGTATTTTTGGGACGTGGCCGGCGTCTGCGAGACTTTTGTCAGCATTGGCGATTCTTTCGTGGACAACCTTCGGGTCGAGATCTTCGACCTGAGTGTAGACGTCAGCACATTGTCGAAAGAGATGAACGAAAATATTTCGAACTTCGTTAGTCAAACTTATCTCTACAAACCCCAAATTGGAAAACTGCCCAAAATTTTGTTCGAGAGTGGGAGGGGTGAGATCCTGCAACAGCGATTAGTACCAATCATAGCACACGGGACACATTCAGAGTTTAGATTACGCTTACCTCAGTTGACTGAACAGGTTGGGTGTCCTGCAGGCTGGAACTTGCAGCCGTGGGTTCAGGGTTTGAGGATTGTCGAGCGCTTCGAGCGAAGCGCTTGGTCACTTTGCCAAAGAGCTTGAAAACTGACCCTGAACGTCTTTCATGAGACCCATTCCTCGAAGGCAAGAGAGAAGACGGCTGTAACGATTAGATACGATGCAAATGCTAAGATGAAAGTTCATACATCGTGACTGGCTGTCGTCCTGCCTCTCTCCTCTACTAAATGAGGGTTTGAATGACTTGGCTTCGGTCGGCCCCAGCGTTTCTTCCGAGGAGGATTGTTTTCATGCATCTTGTAAGTGGGAAAGTGCGTATTTTGGTGCAATGGAAGTAGGAGGCGTGGTGGTAGCGAATAGAATCGACTGGCGCGATGAGGATTATTGTGTATGTAACCTGTAGTTGGAAGCACCCCGTTATCGATTGACAGCCTGAACTATTAATAGCATGTTATGTCATGAGGATTTCGAGTGTCCTATATACTTAATTCCAAGGATCGTAGGAGATGATCAAGTAGATCAACAGGTTGGCTGTATACTCCAAGGTGACGAAGTAGCAGCACGCTTGCGACGTCACTCTAGTATCCAAAATGTGATTGGAAATGTGACATGGCTATGCAGGGTGATTCGTATCAGGAACGTGCCCGTGCAAGCGCCCATATCGTGATGAACCGAATTTCCACACCAAAGCCTCATGGAAGGCCTGCAGGTTACCCGTGCGTTCAAGTGAAAGCATCCAGGACAGGTGACTCCTGTTGGTCTCTTACGGTTGCAGAAGCGCTCAGTGACGAACCTTGAATATTCGTAATTGATGCATTGCGCCAGCGTGATTGGTTGATCTGTCGGACAAATGTTGTACCAGTGTTTCTGAATTCTGGACTCGGAAGTTGAAGACCAACAGCATCCAGAAACATGCCGTCAAGTTGCGGTGAGAGCGGCATCCAATGGAAACACTCATTTCGGCCTTCGGGCGTTGAAAATAAGAAAATTTCCTGACTGAAGGCATACCATGACCACTAGTACGTCAATGATTTGGAGCATACCAGAATTTACATAAATGCGTTTGAGTCAAAGTTCCAGAGAAAGGGATGCACACCAGCTAAGAGCTTGGACATGAAGATATGGAAGGCGGTAACAACGGCCACCTGAGTAGTACTTGGTACCGATCAACTTGATACGGTCGCCCCCAACTTGAACAAGATCTGCAGTAAGTGATGGTAGCCGCTTTTATTTGTGCATGCTTGGTTCACACCCCGACGAGGTGATCCCGCTTTTATACTAGTTTCACCCCAACAGTATCAGCTGCCCAAGTTTTTGAGACTGCGCTCGTCCTGCGCTCGTCCATAAGATCATCCTCTCCTTTTCCTCCAGCTTCTACATCCAACATGCCGACAAATGCGAAAAAACGACGGCGCGAATCTGAAGACTGGGATTATGCTGATCTTAGTGGGCCTGACCCAATGTACAAGAGGACAGCCCCAGCATGCATTCCCGCGTCATCTTCCACTACTTTCAGGGTCAACACTACCACCAAAGGCCCCGATCCGAATCTAATGTCTTATAGTTCTACCTTTGACAGCAAAGCTCCTTATAGCTATTCATACACCCCCCCTACTACTTCTGTGATGACGATGCCATCAGTTCCATATTCTTCATACAACTACAGCTACCCGTATCCCCAATCCACGCACCCTCACGTGGAGCCTCAGCCCCCAGCTCAAGAGGCCCTACCACCTCCCGTCAAGAAACAAAGGAAGAAGAAAGACCCTAATGAGCCTGCGCCAGAGAAACGCGGTGCTATGTTCAAGAAAAAGTGTCCGCAGAATATTCTTGATCGTGTAGATAGGATCATGTCCCAAAGGTAACGTATTTCTCCTGTATTTGGTAGAACATGTCATCGATCATGACCAAGATTTTTCATGGTCGACCGAAAGCGTACCGGCGACGAGCTACGTGAGGAGTTTAGCGTGTTAGGCTCCTACAGGGAATGTGAGTGCTCTTCTATTTGGTCGCTTAACACGCTTACATCAACATAGGTGTATACTGTTGTCATCGATAAAACACCATCCTGCAACTGCATGTCGCGTTTTCTTTCGCTTTCAATTAGCCCCTGACTTTCGGCGTTTGACAGGTCCAGATGCCAACAAGGGTAATCACTGCAAGCACATAGTAAAGCCGCTCTTACTTCGTATCACCTCCATTTCTAATCGTCTTACGTTAAGTTGTTCATCTTTTTGAAAGGTGATCGCAGTTCTATTTCCACCACTCCCCCTGGAAATAACTGAACTTCCGCTATAGTCCTTCAAGTCAGCCAGAGCTCCGGCTTGTGGTACCAAAAGTCAGTACCTCATGTCGATACAGCTTTCATCACTCAATTATCACCCTATAGAGCACTTCTTACCTCCGAACTTCAAGAAATATTCGCGCATGCGCCTCCAGCACCCAACTCTGTTACCAATCAACGTGTCCGGGACGCATATGCACGCGCAACTGGCAAGGCCACCACTACTACCCCCTCTGAAGAGTCCGAGCCTGTGAAAAAGCGCCGTGCGCCTGGTCCAGAGGACGATTGTCCCATCTGCTATGAGAGCATGCACGGCGCAGACGAGAATACCCTCATCTGGTGCGAAACTTGTGCGAACGCCGTGCACAAGGAGTGCTTCACACAGTGTACACATCATATACTTGCTATCATTGAAATATGGGACTGATGGATTGACGTAGGGGCTAAATCCTGTGGACGCAACATTACTTGTGTCTTCTGCCGTTCCCCATGGGTCAACGTTAGCACGGGTGGGCAGGCCTCCGGGAAGGGAAAGGCACCGATGTCAGAGGGATATATTAATCTTGGTACTGTTGCGGGTTTGAGTCAAGAGCGCGATACCAGCTCCTGTGCGTCCATTTTTGATCTCTTTCACGATCCCTCTTATCCTTTTGATCATCGGCGCCTATCTCGTCTGATTACTCACTAACCATCACTTGCTGCAGATTATCATGGCTCTAGGCGTGGGTATCGGCACTACGGTTATCAAGATTATGAAAACCTACTTTAGGCAAAGGACCGTGTTCTATCTTTCATGCGTATCCGTGATCCGGCCCCTTGATCTATCATCTCGTACATTTTTTCTTTCAATTTACGTCCCTTGCATTTCATCACAGTACAACATCATTTAAATCTCTTGCACGTCTATACGATTGCGCCCTGCCGCCCTAATCGTTAGTGTATATGTCACCGATCGGTCCTAGTACTACTAGTATCTTCAAATCTTGATTTCCAGATCATGCCCGCCTCGAGGCGCTCGAGTCAATCGCTAAAGAGGGTACGTGTTTACTGATTGTTCCTTTTTCTGATGCACGTGTATGCGTTATCCAGCCGCATCGCCGGGTTATACTATATCACGGCTTTTTGCATATGGTTAAATACAGGATAGTATTCCCGAAGTCTCCTTAGTACTAGGAGACACTGGGTATACCATCACTTGGCCGACAATCATTCACTGAGACACAGCGATGTTGGGAAAATATCACTCCTGGCATATGCCTTGTTCCCCTCCGGAAAACGCACGGATTCGTCTTGCAACGCCTCAACATTATTCAAGACTACAGGTTTCATATCATGCAACTTTGTGCGACTGCCAGCACCTACGGGAGACACTCCTAAAACCTATCATCTGAACATGTCACCCTCAGTGTGCTGAACTCTGCAATGGTATGTTCAGACGGGCAGCACGTCGATGGATGCAGATGTGACCGAGGCAGCCTAAGCGTGGCAGGTTGGGATGATGAATCCGACGTACGGAGCGCGTGCTTGTACTAATTCTGCGGTGTAGAGAGATCCTGTAGTGAAAAATCTGTGTTCGACATGTCGCGTGAGATGTTGATGGCGTGTTTTACGTGATTGGGCTGGTTCTGCCTATTCTAGGGGATCGCAGATTTCTAGAATATGACCGAGTCAACGACTTACTTCGGTGGCGCTTTCGGAAAAAGGCGACTTTGGTACTCCGGACTGGCCCAAAATGTTTGGCTTTTGGCAGGTGGCCAGATTGTCGGGAAACGGAGTACATATACTTGCTGTGTAGGATTAATAGCCTAGTGTCTGTGCTTGTCTGCGGGACCCGGATTGCAGTAGACATAGTCATATTCCAGCGCTCCGATGATAAAGCTTGTATTACATAAGACTGGACCTGCCCTTAGAGCACGTTCCGCCATTTGCCATTCAAAGTTGAGTTTTGCATGGACAGTGATGAAATTATATGATCAATGTACGTCTCGCCTTGATCTCAATCGGTGACTACTAGGCTCGGTGACTAAACACTTCCGACAGGTTCATGAGAGATACCTGTCAGATGATCACTCATCTTACACTGGCAGAGCCTAAGCGCCAAGCGCTCTTGGACTGCATGACTCCGCCACTGGACATGCGTTAAAATTGCTGTATTTTCATCGGCTCCACCCTGTCACGGGCCGTCCGCCTAATACAATAGCTAGTATTAAAGCCATGCTATCTTAATCCCGTAGCATCTCATCCTGCCAGTGTTTTCCATCGAATCATGCTCAACTTCCCTTGGGCTCGACGTGTCCTACTACCTCGAACTGGCACGCAGAAAGAGAGAACGCCGTTTCTCGAACGAAGGCTTGGGGTATGGCGCATACTGATCGCCGCTGATGAATCATCATCATTCAGGCTCCCCAATCTTCAATGGGACCTTGTATCGACACACGTCCCCCTCTTGACTCGCGCATACAAGGATTTTCACTCTGTCAGTCCAAAACTGTTTTGGCTCCTAATGGTTACAAACCTCTGGTATGCGATTGAGGACCCACTGTCCCTCTATTTCTCAAACCGCCTTTTACTTCTCGTGAGTGAATTCTTCAAGTTCTTGACTTATGACTCACATATATTCACTGTTTCCGAAGATTCAACGCTCTGTTTTGGAAGGCAAGATTCACACGAGTCTCGACAAAGATCTATGTATAGCCATCATCGCTCGAGCTTCATGCTCCGCGTTCAGCGGATTTGTGCAGTGGACTTCGTAAGGCTTCATCGGATTTGGCCGAATCACGTTAATCGGAGGTGACAATAGTAATGGTGTCAAGGATCGATACCGCACGCTTGTCTGTTACCGATTTCAAGAGTTGTTACTGCGAGGTATTCGCACTTTGATCTTCATCTCAACGCTACTGAAATGCCTTGTTAGCAAATCTCGCTCGTGACATTGAGGCGTCCCAAGGTTGGTGCCGGTCTTATGATTTGTAGGATGACAAACTCAAGTCGGGTATGTAAAAGATAACGAGGCAGGTCTTACAGTCAACACTAGGCAAGTGTTTTACTGCCTTGTACGATTGCTCGATCTTGGGAAGGAGATTATTTCGTTTCTGCTCCAATTGCGATTATTGCTGCATCTCCTAGGCTCCGAATTTGCGAGTGCTGGACTTGCCTCGATTTTAATGTGTTTTTTGCCCCTGATCTTGGAGAATATGTGGGACAATGAACTCTGGAACAAAGGTTTGTGCTCCTGTTTATTTTATTTGATCCACCTGACATTCGTAGCTTACGTGAAACAGGCAGTCAATGACGACTACCTGCGGCAAGAGGCCTTGACTTCACTTGCGAAACACACATACAAAGCTGAGGTGATGGGAGGCAATTTATCAGGTTATCTTTTAAATGGTCGTGTGTTGAGTATCTTTGGGTTTCAAAATCACTCACATAACTCTCAGAGTACCAGAAGGTGCACGACGCACTTAGTCACATACCTAACGGAGAAGTCGAGGATCTGTGGAAAACATCAACGACCGCTCTGCCTAGTATCTTCTCGAACCTCTGCAATGACGGACCCATGGTGAGTTTATGCAATTTTATACGCCTACGTTTCTGATGTATTGCTAGCTCTATATTGGGCTTTTGGCTCTCATGAATCCAAGTCAGGTATCTGTTGTTCAGCTAGCTATGCTAGAACAAGCTGCCACGCGTCTCCGATACACGTTTTCTTTCTCCAAGCACATCATTAGCCTTTATCCGACTGAATTGGCCGGCTTGAAGAATTTCTACAGACTTCTCGATCTTAAGAACAAGATGAAAGACGGCTGTATGCCGTATTCACCGGCAGCTGGTTCTTTAGGTCTCTCGTTAGAAGTTCGGTACGAATCTCGGGTTTTGCGCGGTGGTTCTTCTTCATATTTTCATCGACAGAAACGTATCGTTTAATTATCCCGGTGCCAAGTCTGAAAGAGATGCATTGAAGGAAGTTTCTTTTTCGATAAAAGCAGGTCAATTGGTAGTCATCGTCGGCGCAAACGGCTCAGGAAAATCGACCATACTCAAGCTCCTGACTCGCTACTACGACACTACCTCAGGCACTGTCTTGATCGATGGAAATCCCATCCAAGATTATCGAATTGCAGACTTGCGGTCTGTGACAGCTAGTCTAACGCAGGAGCACACCTTATTCCCTCTCTCTATGAGCGAGAACATCGGGATCGGGTCACCAGCATCTGTAACAAATCTTGACAAGATTGCCCAAGCAGCGAAGTTAGCTGGTGCTAAGGACGTCATCGAGAACTTCACCGACGGATATGACACTGTCCTCGAACCTGTCAAGACTGCCCAGCTTAGCTATACAGGGAGGGGGAACGAGGACCTGAAAAATGAGTACGAGAAGATGGAGAAAACAACAAACGTGTCTGGTACGTCTCATTCGCTAGGATGGGTGCGTGTACTAATAACGCATAGGCGGAGAGAAACAAAGACTAGTCGCGTGAGTCTACTCATCCTGCGTCATTGGCGTTTATGTAACTCGCGCAGCTCCCGGACGTTTATGCGTATGCTGTCCGAAGATATCAAGTTTGTTATAGTCGACGAGCCAAGCTCTGCTCTTGACCCAGGAGGCGAATACGAACTATTCAAGCAGCTGAGGGAGGCACGCAAAGGAAGAACCATGATATTCGTCACGCACCGTTTTGCGCATCTCACCAAGTTTGCCGATCTCATCTTGTGCGTATCCCTTTTTGATTATCGACTTCCATTCTGATATGAACGACGGGTCCAGGTGTATGAAGGGAGGAAGTGTGATTGAGATGGGAACGCACCAAGAACTGTTGAACCATCAGGGAGAGTATGCTCACTTATATAATGTCCAAGCGCAAGCTTTTACTTGAGACTTACCGAACCATCAAGGATAGCCCTCATAAAATTCAAGTTAGTATACGTCGGCAAATGGGATTATGCTACGCAACAATGATAGTCACTTCCGTACAACGCAAAATAGATTATAAAACCTGTATATCGCAGTCCCACAAATGACTGACGGTCCTCAAATGCTCGCAGCAAGAATATGTTCTCGATCCCCATGAATTGGCAACACGACAATTATTGGTCCTTGTGAGCCGATCGCTGATGCGGTGGCTACAGACGCAAGTGCTGTGCATCCCAATATTATAAGGTTCCGCCAGCTTAGATTTCGTTTCGATATATTCCCTCTAAACGTATATATTCATCCAGCTAACAGGTACGGCGCAACAACCCATCTTCGACGACCATGAGCAAATTTCATATACAATGGTCAAGCACGGTCAGGCATAATGGAGCGACTCGGCTCATTATATGGGGGTGCGAACGACCACTGATGCTGATTGGAATGCTAGAATCGAGACTACCGTTTTGGGCTTCAGAAATCATTCATCATGTTATTGTATTTTCTATTTATGATGTGCACAATGGTCACTTTCGGGCTCGAATTCACAGGCGAAAGCAACAAAAGCTTAATCTTCTTGGTGCACAGTACTGGTCACGTTCCCTTCCTGACGGGGATCAACAATCAAGATGCACCATAGACGTGCAGATACTTTATACTACTCTATAGTGAGTCGTAAGGTGAGCGTCCATGAGACTTGAGCCTGAAAGTTTGTTGGACAGGTATGATACTCGCTTGGTGTCTCGGTAGGGCTTGAAATTGAGGGGTGATGAGAAGCATGGCCTTAGGAGGGTATTCAAGACGCTTATGACATATATTGCAATAGAATTGTGGAGAGTATGCTTACTATGATCGTCTGCAAAAAGATTCGATGCGAAACGGTGAGAGGAACGCTTGAAATGCGAGCTCGCTGTAGCAGGCAGTGAGCACGAAGGTTTATGGGACTTGCCGAACGTTGTTGGAGCCAAAAATGTCAGGGCACGATATTAATAGCATGCCGGGACGTTGCCGAGGTGCCTTGCTAAGTACCCACGATAAATACCCAACAATTATTCATCACATTGCTGTATCTACCTATATACTTAGAGGGGCCCTGGCGACCATCCACGTCTAATTACAAACGTAGGAGTCACAGGTAGGTGGCGCATCAGTAAACCGGTGAGTTCTTGCTGGGGATTATGCTGATTATGGTGCTCACTGCTTTTACATAGTCATATATCACTTTATATATATTCCAATGCTTATGCGACGAAAACCCTTTCCTATATAACGATTAATGACGATGTCTTCTTCTCACAGGTTCTCTGATAGCCCGCCTCACTAGCAGGCTTGGTGACTAAACACTTCCGACATCATCAGAAATGATCAATCATCTTACAGAACTAGCTGCGCTCTTGGACTGCGTGTCAGACTCTGCCACCGGACATGCGTTAAAATTGCTGTATTTTCATCGGCTCCACCCCGTCACCAATATTGAAATAGCTAGTATTAAAGTCATCTCATCCTGCCAGTGTTTTCTCTCCAATCATGCTCAACTTCCCTTGGGCTCGACGTATCCTACCTCGAACTGGCACGCAGAAAGAGAGAACACCGTTTCTCGAACGAAGGATTGGGGTATGGCGCGTACTGATCGCCGCTGACGAATCATCATCATTCAGGCTCCCCAATCTTCATTGGGGTCCTGTATCGACATACATCCCCCTCTTGACTCGCGCATACAAGGATCTTTACTCTGTCAGTCCAAAGTTGTTTTGGCTCCTGGTGGTTAAAAATCTCTGGTATGCGATCGAGGATTCACTGTCCCTCTATTTCTCAAACCGCCTTTTACTTCTCGTGGGTGAATTCTTCTTGACTTATGACTCACATATATTCACTGTTCCCGAAGATCCAACGCTCTGTTTTGGAAGGTAAGATTCACACGAGCCTGGACAAAGATCTATGTATAGCCATCATCGCTCGAGCGTCATGCTCCGCGTTCAGCGGATTTGTGCAGTGGACTTCGTAAGATTCTCTCCAATTTGGCTGAATCACGTTAATCGGAGGTAACAATAGCAATGGTGTCAAGGATCAATACCGCGTGCTCGTCAGTTACCGATTTCAAGAGTGGTTGCTGCGAGGTATCCGCACCTCGATTTTCATCTCAACGCTACTGAAATACCTTGTTAGCAAATCTTGCTCGTGACATCGAGGCGTCCCAAGGTTGGTGCCGGTCATATAATTTATAGGATGACCAGCTCATGTCGGGTATGTACAAGATAATGAGGCAGGTCTTACAGTCAACCCCAACCAAATGTTTTACTCCCTTTTACGATTACTCGACCTTGGAAAGCAGATTATTTCGTCTCTACTCCAATTGCGATTATTGCTGCATCTCCTAGGCTCCGAATTTGCGAGTGCTGGACTTGCCTCGATCGTAATTTGTTTTTTGCCCATGATATTGGAGAATATGTGGGGCAATAAACCCTGGAGCAAAGGTTTGTGCTCCTGTTTATTTTATTTGATCCACCTGACATTCGTAGCTTACGTGAAACAGGCAGTCAATGACGACTACCTGCGGCAACAGGCCTTGACCTCACTTACGAAACATACATACAAAGCTGAGGTGATGGGAGGCAATTTATCAGGTTATCTTTTAAATGGTCGTGTGTTGAGTATCTTTGAGTTTCAAAATCACTCACATAACTCTTAGAGTACCAGAAGGTGCACGATGCACTTAGTCACATACCTAACGGGGAGGTCGAGGATCTGTGGAAAAGATCAACGACTGCTCTGCCTAGTATGTTCTCGAACCTCTGCAATGACGGACCCATGGTGGGTTTATGCAATTTTATACGCCTACGTATCTGATGTATTGCTAGCTCTATATTGGGCTGTTGGCTCTCATGAATCCAAGTCAGGTATCTGTTGTTCAGCTAGCTATGCTAGAACAAGCTGCCACACGTCTTCGATACACGTTTACTTTCGCCAAGCACATCATTAACTTTTATCCGACTGAATTGGCCAACTTGAATAATTTTTACAGACTTCTCGATCTTAAGAGCAAGATGAAAGATGGTTGTATGCCGTATTCACCGGCAGCTGGTTCTTTCGGGTCTCTCGTTAGAAGTTCGGTACGAATCTCGAGTCTTTGCGCGGTTGCTCTTCTTCATATTTTCATCGACAGAAACGTATCGTTTAACTATCCGGGCGCCAAGTCTGAAAGAGATGCATTGAAGGATGTTTCTTTTTCGATAAAAGCAGGTCAATTGGTGGTCATCGTCGGCGCAAACGGCTCAGGAAAATCGACCATACTCAAGCTCCTGACTCGCTACTACGACACTACCTCAGGCACTGTCTTGATCGATGGAAATCCCATCCAAGATTATCGAATTGCAGACTTGCGGTCTGTGACAGCTAGTCTAACGCAGGAGCACACCTTATTCCCTCTCTCTATGAGCGAGAACATCGGGATCGGGTCGCCATCATCTGTGACAAATCTTGACAAGATTGCTCGAGCAGCGAAGTTAGCTGGTGCTCAGGACGTCATCGAGAACTTCACCGAAGGATATGACACTGTTCTTGAACCTGTCAAGACTGCCCAAATTAGCCGTACAGGGCGAGGGAACGAGGTCCTAAAAAAGGAGTACGAGAAGATGGAGAAAAACAACAAACGTGTCTGGTGCGTCTCGTTCGCTAGGATGGGTACGTGTACTAATAACGCATAGGCGGAGAGAAACAAAGACTAGTCGCGTGAGTCTACTCATCCTGCGTCATTGACGTTTAATTAACTCGCGCAGCTCCCGCACGTTTATGCGTATGCTGTCCGAGGACATCAAGTTTGTTATAGTCGACGAGCCAAGCTCTGCTCTTGACCCAGGAGGCGAATACGAACTATTCAAGCAGCTGAGGGAGGCGCGCAAAGGAAGAACCATGATATTCGTCACGCACCGTTTTGCACATCTCACCAAGTTTGCTGATCTCATCTTGTGCGTATCCCTTTTTGATCATCGACTCGCATTCTGATGTGAATGACGAATCTAGGTGTATGAAGGGAGGAAGTGTGATTGAGATGGGAACGCACCAGGAACTGTTGAACCATCAGGGAGAGTATGCTCACTTATATAATGTCCAAGCGCAAGCTTTTACTTGAGACTTACCGAAATCATGAAGAATGGCCCTCATAGAATTCCAGCTATTAGTATACGCCGGAAAATGGGATTATGCTACGTAACAACGATGGTCACTTCCGTACAACGCAAAATAGATTATAAAACCTGTACTTATATCGCATAGAACCTGTATATCGCAGTCTTACAGATGACTCTAAGATGGGCCTGGCACCAAGAATATGCTCCGGTCCTATGAATTGGTAGCACGACAATTCTCGGTCCTTGTGTGGGACTACAGCCGATCACTGACGCGGCGGCTACACCAGAGAAACTGATGGGTTCACGTCAGTCCAGGGGTATCATAATCGTCCCATTACATGATTTACTGTGGAAGGAAACTGTTGTCAGCACTTCCACAGAAGAGTACTATGATAACAACACGTTCGAGGTGAGGAAGCGGAAACATTTTCAAGATGTTCGAGAGAGACCGACGACCTTCGGAGAGACGGTGTGTAAGGTAATAAACTCAAAGTGCAGTCTATTATTGTAACCACTATGAATAGCAGGTATGACAATCAAATGTATAATCATAATGTTTGACAGACCTTCAAGAGAATCCCTCGAGTGAGATGGATATTATTTGACACCTCGAGTTCAGGTAAAAGTCGAGATGCATGGGCCAGCTAACGCTTTTGAATGACACATTGTTATTGAGGTTGTATTAAGGGCGTCTTATGGGACCCCCAGCAAAGCTAATGATTACTTGTATGTTCTGCAATAGCAGACGGTGATTCTATACCACCGACGTACGCTGCAAGAAACGTAGCCGAACTTTCTTGAGGATGTGGTTCAAATAATCCACGTCGGGGGACGACAAGTGTTACGAACACTCGGCACTCATGGTCGAACTTGAAGTATGGGGGAATAAATTCACAACCTTCTTATCATCCCCGATGACGCGGAACCTCACTAATTGGAGCCATACTAAACGTCAGAGATCTGAAAGGTGACCACATAGGAACTCACGCGGAGTGAACGGCTGTCCTTTGCCTTTCCGAATACTAGTAAAATAAAGAGTACCGGAGCCCTGGTGACCCTTTAGACGGAAACTTAGGTCCACATTGCCTTGTGGAAGATTAATCTAAGCAACGAGATTGAGATGAAGTGAATGCTTCGACAACTGATTGCACTTACCGAGCCATTTATCCAAGGGTCGCCATTCAAGTACCAGGCAGGTTCAGGTCGGATTGCATCTCCCAGCATCTCCTTCAGTTCTTCATTATCCCTAACGGTCTGCATAATATGCTTTACAACAGAGCTCGATAGTTTCTCTTGGTTCGTCGCGAAGAGTAAAAATGCAGCCCAAGCGGAAACCCCGAGGGTGGCGAATGCAAGAATGAACGGCCAACGTTTCTGTGTTGTCGAATAAGTGGAATGCGTGCACGTAGACGCAAAGCGCAAACCTGAACGTGAGGAAGGTCAGCCTTAAGAGGAGGTCTAGTGTAATATAGCCTTGGTTTCGAAGGTGCAGAGAACGTTTCAACATGAGGTTCTTCGGTAGGAGGAGGGGGTCGCGGGAACTTGGTTACTGTTGCATAACCCCTTGATATAGCTCCCCCAAAGCTTCTGTCCAAAACCGAGAGATTTCTTGCGTGTCGAGTGATGGACATCATTTTCACAGTCAAGGAAGCTTGCATTACTAGGTGAGGAAAGCCAGATAAGTTATGCGGCGTAGCACAGCCACATCAGTTTTCCGTCTGAGTCTGAGCCGCATCCACATGATTTTGACATGTCCACTCAAACGTTCACTGCCAAAAATTGAAACCATTCACCATGTCTCAGAGCCAGCAAGGACTACTGTTTTGTCCTATGGTGATGAAACGCGGCCACAATCGTCTCCGGAAGCTACCGACTCAGCCTGAGGAATGCACAAAAAAGTTTAGAACAAGGTGTACTTATTATGCTGACAGCGGCCGCGCAGAGGTGGTACAGGTTACGACGGGATACTGTTATCTGCATTACACCTGTTCCGCATGAAGCCCATGTCCAGATGCCGACCGTCTAATTGTTCGACCCGGGTTGACCACGCACATCAGATTCAGATAGACTAGGCGTCCGCAGTCCGGACCGTAAGTTGAGATAAACATCTCTTGGTTTGGTTCAATTTCGGTCTGGTTCGCAGACTAGAATGCACATGTACATATGCATCAGGGCTTCTCGGTCGCCACGTTCAACTAATGTGGATACTGAAGGTGATTCCCAATTGACAACTTGTCTCTTTCGATACTGCGTGATCAGTGGGTCAGTGCTCATTCGAAATCGCCTACTTGCAAGAGTGCGACATGGCGGCTCCGAGAGCTTCAGCGATTTCGAAGTTGCACCCGCAACCAAGTGCAGATGAGACAACTCTCGCCAAGCTAGGATACAAGCAGGAGTTTCACAGGGAATTCACTTCGCTAGAGGTGAGTTTGATTGCAGACTCTTCCGTGTATGCGACACAGGCTAACACCTGCAGGTATCTGGACTTGCATTCAGCTATATCGGAGTGGCTCCTTCAATAGCGTAAGCCGTCACTATGACGCAAGCCAATTGAAATCGTATCATCAATGATTAATTGTCGCTCAGCTCCGTACTCTTCTATGCCATCCCAAATGGTGGGCCTTTCGCGATGGTTTGGGGTGTAAGCTTTCATCACACGTGAGGATTGCTGGTCCGTAAACATATCACTTTTCCTCTCCGCAGTGGGCAGTTGCTTGTCCCTTTATTATGTGCATCGGGTTGGCGATGGCAGAGCTCGCATCAGCAGCACCTACTTCTGGCGGGGTACGTCATAGATGCTGTTGCTGTTTCAAACTTGACTTTGAAACAAAATGTAGCTATACTATTGGACTTACTCGCTTGCTTCTCCACGATGCCGTAATTTTCTTTCTTGGATAGTCGGCTGTAAGTCCTGCATTTTGATGTGAAGTGCAATCAGTCCTAACATGTGCAGATTCAAATACTGTAGAGATTATCACGGGAGTCGGTGAGACGGGTTTCATTTTTTCAACAGCCCTGATCACATGGGGCTAGCTTCCGTAAACTGGGCTTGTGCAATTCAAATTACTGCAGCAATCAGTATTGCCTCCTCTAACCAGGCATATACGACTACCAACCAGCAACTCTAGTAAGCTCATTACCATACAACACGACACTCTTCATATTGGTTGTTACAGTGGTATATACGCAGCTTTGGTTTTATCACATGCTGTCCTCGTGAGTTTCGGTACCAAAGTTTTGGCAAGGCTACAGAGACTGTACACGTTGTTGAGTGCGAGGTAGGTGTTGTATAGTTCTACATGATCATCGTTTCAAATCTTCCGATAGCCTTTGCTTCATAATCATAATTGCGCTTCCGATCGCAACGCCACCAGATTATCGAAACAGCGCAAATTTTGCGCTAGGGGATTTCACCAATTGTATGTATCGTTGTCAAATTACGCTCACAGCTCACGATCAGTTGTAGTAGCCGGCTGGCCATCCGGATTCACATTTATTTTGAGCTTAATGGCTCCTCTTTATACAATAGGTTAGACCATATTCTCTGGAATTAGCACTCCATGACTATCTTTCACCCACCAGGGGGTTATGATGCTAGTGTTCATATGAGCGAGGAGGCCTCAAATGCCGCTACTGCAATACCATGGGCAATCGTAAGTGACGCTAGAAATGACCAATTATTGTATTTATTCCAGTCAGGTCAGTTCCATTGCTATATCGGCCGTCTTTGGTTGGGGTATGTGGAATGATATGTCACTCTGATCTTGATGACATATTCCAATACAGGAATCAACGTCTGCCTTGCCTTTTGCATGGGCACTCATGTTGGCAGCCTCTTAAGTAGCCCTATAGGGCAGCCTATGGCGCAGATCTTATACAATTCGCTCGGGCAGAGAAAGGCCCTGGCTCTATGGTGTCTCATCATTTCAACAGGGTACGTTTTACTGCCGTGTGACGTATTCACAGCCTAATCATAGAGCAGGTACATGGTGGCATCGAACTGCCTCCTGGTCGGCTCTCGCCAAACGTTCGCATTTGCTCGTGATGGCGCCCTGCCTTTTTCACGGTATTTGTACCGGATCAATCGCTACACAGGAACACCCGTCAATACAGTTTGGTTCGACAGCATCTGCGCTCTGGCGATTGGTCTTTTGTCGTTCGTGAGTATCGAAGCCATCAATGCGGTGTTCACAATTTCTGTAACCGCATCGTATATCGCTTTCATTACGCCGATCACAACCCGCTTTGCGTTCAAGAATGATTTCAAACCCGGCCCATTTCATCTGGGGAAACTGGTGGGTCAATAGGCAGCGACGTATTCTTGAACTAATATAACTGCGCAGAGCTTTCCAGTCGCTGTGATCGCTGTGGTGTGGATGGTCTTCACGATCGTTGTTTTCTGCTTTCCCGCGACCCCGCAAACAACGACACAACAAATAAACTATACAGCTGTGGTACTTGGAGGGTTCATGTTTCTGGCGATTTCCTGGTATTATTGTCCGGTGTACGGAGGCGTACATTGGTTCGATGGACCCATATCCAACTTTACACCGGTCATCAGAGGTGAAAACAGAGATGAGGATTCGATGTCGGAGTCGGAGAAGAAGGAACAACGTGACACTGATATCTCCGTTTTAGCGGCGGATGTATAAGTAATGCCCGTATACCATCTGAAGTCATCAGTATACACGGATGATACATATGTAATTCAACAGACTGATCATTTTCCGACTGCGGTTGGCTTGCACCGAATTGTTTGAGGGCCAACAGTTATAGAATACCCCCTTGTTTCATCACTCTCAAAACATGCAGCTGTTTCGTGGAGATGATTTTTGAGAGTTTTGTCCAGACAGATGAGTCCACACTTAATTAAACTGCTACTTCATTTCGTCTGTCGACAGTTCCCAGCTTATATTCGTTTTTATACAATGAGATCACCATCCACATTACGAACATTTGAGCGAATATTGATATTGCCCGCACGGGCCGCGGGATGTGACTCAGCTTCTGGGAATCCTCGCAGTCCATCAAGTCATTTTTCCTCCCTGATATGTTTCACCAATGCATTTCCTGCTATGACTCATCTGCGTTTGCGTTGATGCGCGCTAGCCTCCGAATCAACACATTGGGTATTGCATAATGCATGATGAGATTCACGGATATCGCTGTTTGGCAAATTACTATCGACAACATTCATAGCACCAGAATGTAGGCACACTGGGCGACGAATCTAAACAGGGTAGCCCGTGGTAGTTTCCCATCCATCAGGGATTGTCCAGTTGGCGTTACAAACGAAGTTCCAGTCCGTACTCCGAATGTTCTCTTTCTGCGCGTCGACAAAAGCATGAATCGAACACATCCCATCTGGATGATGTTGACACCCATTCAGATTTGCCAGCGGCACAACGCCATCATTAACGATCACACGAATTTGTGGGTCGGGCTCCGTGGAGCATGACAAGACTGTGAGGACGAAACAAAATGAGTGCGGTTTGGAATGATCGCGGGATTACTCACGCTGGAACTGTACATTGGTTGCAAATGGTGCAAGCTCTGTTGACCTAAACGTGCGCCGTTTTGGTATATGATCAGTAGGCAATTGTCCCATCGCCGCAAAGCTCGAAAGATTCAATGCAGTAAGGACTGTCAATGAATGAAAATCAGGATGTTTTCCAACTTCGAGTTCATCAACAAGCTAACCATTCAATACTACAGTTTCATGCGTCGCATCCACATAAAGGCTGTTTCCAAGGGGGAAAGTGACAGCGTTATGAAGTGTCGCATTAGTAGAAGTATTGTGGGTTTCAATCGGCGTCTGAGTGAGACGAGACACAAGCTCTTGCACATAGCCAATTCCTTCTGCCCTACCTAGAGGTGAGCCCCAAGCTACATTGTACCTATGTTTCTGTCAGAACTCGATTTTCTGTTGCAAGCGAAGGAGAGAACGCACCAATAGTTAATATCGTATCTGGTTAAGATCAGCGGCGTGCAAACTGCATAAGAGAGGTTTCTTACGAATAATCAAAGCCTTCCCACTCCTTCTCCGTGAAGAGTTCGCAGAACTTGGAATAACCAAGAGCGACCGTCTCAAAGGCACACAATGTTTGCATGGCGTAAATATCTTGAACACCCAAATCAAACCCATCAAGATATTGCTGCAAACGAGGAACGGTATCCCTGAGATACACTTCTATCCATGCATTAGCGCGTGATACACCGCGGAAGGCCCGATTTGGATTGTCACTATTGGCACAAGATCGAAAAGGAGCGAGAGTATTGTTGAACTGACATGCACGCATTATTAGTTGGGTATCTCAGAGTAGTTCAAACGACTTACGCCTTTGGCCTCAATCGTGATCTCTTGTTGATACTGGCCCTCGAGAGGGTAACCAAAAAATCCGAGAGCAAAGTTATGCGCAGAGTCCAACATCCGGGTTCTTCATACGTCATCGTCAGAGTGCGAATTATTGACTCTTGAAATGCTTACTGGGACTCCGTTCTGAACACAGGCAAGGTATTTGTTTCGCTGAAATTCTGAATGGTTGGTCAAATTGAAGAATAAGGCAGGAAGACATGGGAAATTTACCTTCAGAAGAAACCCGTATCTCATACGCATCGACACGCCGAGATCGACTATACGAATATCACAATCTGCTGCCATGCGAGATGATGATTCCCTTACACAATTGAGACCTCCCAAAAGGTGTTAATCCTGACAATAATTAAGTATTGGAGCTGCATTCTGATAACGTATGGTGGCTACCTTCGCTTCCTAGCTTGTACGTCCTGCGGAATTGGGGTCAGACATCTACCTTGTTCATTTCTAAGCAGCCTCACCAGTCCTTCAAAAATGAGAGAGGTCCGGTAACGGTGACATTTTCTGCATTCCTGTTCAACTTCGAGGCAAACCCACTCGGCCCACTAGTGCTAGCTATTGCGCAATCCCTCCCTTAGAAACTACTTAGAAGTCTGGATGTGGTTGACTCACAATAGCCACCAGGGTATCGTGCACCGTGACGGTGTAGAAGATGCACGCCAGTGATGTTACAGGTGTCGGGGGCTTCTGGACTAGAATCAACACCAAATTTTCCTCGTGGGATGGAGTACCACGGAGATAAGCCTCCCCAGCTACGAAAAATATTGAAGTCCTTGGTTGTAACCTTCGTGTTGTCCTGGGAAAAACGCGTAGGGGGTACAAGATGCGCTACATTAGAATGCAAAGGATAGGCAGGAGCTGTAGCAGCTACGCCAGGCTCGGCACCTGCTTGTGTTGAACCTGGATAACCGACACTACATACTACGGCTCCAGCCTTGAAAAATAGCAGCAGCTAGAGAGAGACGTACTTGGATGGAAACGCAGAGGGAAACGCGTTGGTGGGCTTGGCCGGAGGGTATTGGTGCCATTCGGGTGTTCCCACGTCCGTAGGAAGTAAAGCAGCGAAGGCTGAAAATGGCACGCATGATTGGTTAACGTTTGAGGCATATCGTGCAACTACAGCCAGACATATAACGAATCCTGCGAAGAAGGCAGCGCCGACGCGTAAGAACAGTGACCGCCGCGCACTGCCAGAGTACAAGGGAGGCGACGAATCGCCGAGGTAAACTCGACTCTGACCACCCATTCTCTTAACATCGGGCGTAAACACTGGAAGAGTCGAGTCGTGTAGCGAGCCCTCCTCAGCCATGGAGAATGTTATCTTTAGGCTTTAACTTGGATGGCCGACGCGACGCGTTCTTATACTAAAGTAAGTAGGTCACGTAAACTATTTTGATTTGACCTCAAACCATTTTCTTTTCGGTTTCTTCTCGTTTCCCTACTCCTTAGACTCGCTTCCTTCTCGCTTCGCTTCTTTATAACGTTGATATTATGCACGAAATGATGAACTGATTCGACCATTCAATTTTGGCGGTACTACTAGTAGTATTCCTGAACCTATCTTGGTCCAGGTCTCCAAAATTCTCTGTCCCGATCATGCCGGCCCGTCTTCCCGTTTACTCAAGCCACTTGTCAGTTGATATTTCTTGTTCTCTCCTTTTCTCTCTGCGCTTGACACCAGGTCATTTGTCTCGATCGAAAATTCGTCTCAGCATGTCTCATCCGTTCGGCCTCGCTGTAGAAGTCAGTGCGCGTGCCTTATCCGATTCTACAAGCACATGCAATGACGCTTGTTCGTCCCTTCCATCTTTTTATTCTTGTCGTGCTCAAAGACATTTACAGAAATTCTTATAGCTTCTGAGGTTCCTCTTCCTCGGGACAGCGAGCAATTAATAAACAGTTGCATTCTACGTCAGAATTTCGAGTTTCATGCAGTTTCCCGCAGTCGCTTGCCCTTTCGTTCAGTCTACACTACTGGCGTCTTCTGTTCTATTGATACATCCGTGCGTGTTCTGATGGAAATCTTTCCTTTTTTCGAGAGGGAACTATTTGTGAACTGCATACCGTTCCTTGGCGTCTCAGTCATCGCAAAGATGAACCGCGTGATGCTTTGCGCGTGCATTCTTGCTCATCGTCGTGTCGATCTCTCTCTTACAGTTTCAAGTGTCTTCGCAAGTCGCGCACACGTTTCGACGATGACATGTTGCCTGTCTCATCTGTTCGGCCTCGCTGGAGAAGTGTGCCACCTATTACCCTGAATTCTACGCATCCCCGTGCTCATGTCCTGAAAATTTCTGTGCATGGCTGAAATTACCCTTGTCAACATATCATCGTGTCTGTCCTTGCACTTCAACTCCCTTTTGTGGTGCGGTTACTTATGACGGGGTATCAATTATAATATGTCAAGGTACTGTTTTAATACATTGTTCAATCTTGTCCTTTCCAGTGTTGTGTATCTGTCAGGTGATGTTGAAAAAAAACGTATTGCGATGATGAGATAATTTTGGATCAAGGGCGTGCAGATGATGGGCATATGTTGTGCACAAGCATTTTAATTTTTCGAGGCCTCTCACGAACGTTTGCTGATATGTAATGCATGATGAGATTCACGGGTGTCGCTCTTTTGGCGAATTACTATCGACAACATCCATAGCACCATAATGACTGGACGACGAATCTAAACAGGATAGCCCGTCGTAGTCTTCCATCCATCGGGGAATGTCAAGTTGGTGTTACAAACGAAGTTCCAGTCGGTACTCCGAATGTTCTCTTTCTGCGCGTCGACAAAAGCATGAATCGAACACATCCCATCTGGATGATGTTGACATCCATCTAGATTTGCCAGCGGTACAACACCATCATTAACGATCACACGAATTTGTGGGTCGGGCTCCGTGGAGCATGACAGAACTGCGAGGACAAATAAAATCGAGTGGAGTTGTGAAGGATGGGGGGTTACTCACGCTGGAACTGTACATTGGTTGCATATGGGGCAAGCTCTGCTGACCTAAACGTGCGCCGTTTTGGTATATGATCAGTAGGCAATTGTCCCATCGCCGCAAAGCTCGAAAGATTCAATGCAGTAAGGACTGTCAATGAACGAAAATGAGTATGCTTTCCGAGTTCAGATTCATCAACAAGCTGACCATTTAATACTACAGTTTCATGCGTCGCATCCACATAAAGGCTGTTTCCAAGGGGGAAAGTGACAGCGTTATGAAGTGTCGCATTAGTAGAAGTATTGTGCGTTTCAATCGGCGTCTGAGTGAGACGAGACACAAGCTCTTGCACATAGCCAATTCCTTCTGCCCTGGCTATAGGTGAGCCCCAAGCTAAACCGTACCTAATATATTTTTCAATCAGAATTCAATTTGGGGTGGCAAGTGGAGGATAGAACCGCACCAATAGTTAATATCGTATCTGGTTAAGATCAGCAGCGTGTAAACTGCATAAGAGAGGTTTCTCACGAATAATCGAAGCCTTCCCACTCCTTCTGCGTGAACAGTTCGCAGAACTTGGAATAACCAAGAGCAACCGTCTCAAAGGCGCACAATTCTTGCATGGCATAAACATCTCGAACTTCCAAGTCAAACCCATGAACATATCGTTGCAAACGATGAACGGTATCCCTGAGATACACTGCTTTCCATGCATCAGCAGGTGGTGCGCCGCGGTAGCCGATATATGGAATGTCATTATTGGGGCAAGATCGATAAGGGGCGAGAGTATTGTTGAACTGACATGCTCATATTACCAATCGAGTATCTTAGAGTAGTTAAAATGACTTACACCTTTGGCTTCGATCATGATCTCTTGTTGGTACTGACCCTCGAGAGGGTAACCAAAAAATCCGAGAGCAAAGTTATGCGCAGAGTCCAGCATCCGGGTTCTTCATACGTTATCTTCAGAATGTGTATTATCGACTCTTGAAATACTTACTGGGAGTCAGTTCTGAACACGGGCAAGGAATTCGTGTCGCTGAAATTCTGAATGGTGTGGTCAAATTGAAGAATAAAGCAGGGAAACATAAAAAAATACCTTCAGAAGAAACCCGTATCTCATGCGCATTGACACGCCGAGATCGACTATATGAATATCACAATCTGCTGCCATGCGAGATGATGATTCCCTTACACAATTGAGACCTCCCGAAAGGTGTTAATCCTGACAATAATTGAGCCTTGGGGCGCATTTCGATAACATATGACGGTTACCTTCGCTTCCTAGCTTGTATGTCCTGTAGATGGAGTCAGATACCGGCTACCTTGTTCATTTCTAAGCAGCCTCACCAGTTGTCCAAAAATGAAAGAGGCCCAGTAACGGTGATATTTTCTGCATTCTTGTTTAACCTGGAGGCAAATCCAGCTGGCCCAGTACCGCTAACTATTGCGCAATCCCTCTCTCAGAAACTACTTCAAAATCTAGATGTGGACGACTCACCAAAGTCAGCAGGGTATCGTGCACCGTGTCGATGGAGAAGATGCACTCCAGTGATGTTGCAGGTGTCGGGGGCTTCTGGACTAGAATCTACACCAAATTTTCCACGTGGGATGGAGTACCACGGAGATGAGCTTCCCCAGCTACGGAAAATGTTGAAGTCCTTCGTTGACCTTCGTGTTGTCCTGAGAAAAACGCGTAGGGGGCACAAGATGCGCTACATTAGAATGCAAAGGATAGGCAGGAGCTGTAGCAGCTACGCCAGGCTCGGCACCTGCTTGTGTTGGACCGGGATAGCCAACACTACATACTACGGCTTCAGCCTTGAGAAATAGCAGCAGCTAGAGACGTACTTGGATGGAAACGCAGAGGGAAACGCGTTAGTGGGCTCGGCCGGAGGGTATTGGTGCCATTCGGGTGTTCCCACGTCCATAGGAAGTAAAGCGGATAAGGCTGAAAATGGCAAGCATGATTGGTTTGAGGTATACCGCGCAACTACAGCCAGGCATATAAGGAATCCTGCGAAGAAGGCAGCGCTGACGCGTAAGAACAGTGACCGCCGCGCACTGCTAGAGTACAAGGGAGGGGATGAATCGCCGAGGTAAACACCACCCATCCTCTTAACATCGGGCGTAAACACTGGAAGAGACGAGTCGAGTCGTGAGCCCTGCTCAGCCATGAAGAAATCCTTCAAGTTGGATAACTTTTCGACGCGATGCGTTCTTATACTAAAGTAACTAGGATACGTAAACTATTGTGATTGACCCCAAATCATTTTCTTTTCGGTTTCTTCTCGTTTCCCTACTCCTTCTGAGACTCGCTTCCTTCTCGCTTCGCTTCTTTATGACGTTGGTGTTATGCACAACTGATTCGACCATTCTTGTGGCGGTACTACTAGTAATATATTACAGTAAATACAAACACGTTGAGTCCAAAATAAAGACTGAACATTTTTATCCAACGCACTAGCGCTGCTGCAGCTGGTAGTAGTGTGATTGAATTGTTGGCAACACAGCTATAGTCAAGAAATGTCTGGGCCAGTGTCTAGTTGAGTATATAGTGCCCCGAAGTAGATCGGTTCCCAACAGGCCTGGGGTAGTCCCTGAACGCATCACCGTTTACGTCAGTACTACTAGTGACAAAGAGACCTCAAGGAGTCATAGAGTCACAGCATCACTGGCAACCAGATACGAGAGTAACGAGACACGGACCCGAAATCATCTCTAGACCGAAGTACTCCTGTTTTTTGTCGGGTAGTTGGGAACGGTATAACAGTTCTTATGACTGACGGGTTCCGACATTGATACTAGTCACTCTTGTCGATCTCAACATGCAGCTCTCACACTCTTTCACGGCACTCATGGCCTTTGTCGTCATTACTGCAACATATCCAGCACCGCATTTGTTGACGACATGTGAGGATTCATGTTTTGCTCGACATAGTCAGATTGATGCTGATATGCGATGTAGCGTTGGCTAGGCGCGGGGTGCTTACCTCTAACCTCGATCAAAACACTAGGGTTGTCGGTAGTCCTAGCCCACTCACCCCACTTATGATGCCCAACGCTGACTCGGATTCGCCCGAGGACTCCCCTGATGGATTTGACAAGCGCGCAGAACTTGACCAGCTTAACGTCCCAGTCGTCATCCCAGTCGTCGTCCCAGTCAACGACCCAGTCGTCCCACTCAATGTCAACGTCCCAGTCCACGTCCCAGTCGTCTTCCCAGTCAACGACCCAGTTGGCGCTCCCGGCGCGCCCGACTCACCTAACACACCTACCTATCAAGCGCGCGGAGCTTGATGACATCGCTTGTTCCGCATCTACTCTACCTACATCACCTGATGAGTTTAGCAAGCGCTGTCCTCCCGTACCTACAGGGGGTGACGAGTCTAGCAAGCGCGAGGAGATGAGCAAGGTGCCGATTCGGAGCCTGCCGGAGAGGCAACACCACACGTCCAACTAAGCGAGACGCTGTTATTTGAAATTCGAGCTTTTCATACAGGACAAGTTGTTGCTATTCATTCCCTTACCCTCGTTAGCATAACATCTCGTTACATTCGTTCTTTATCTTCCTTTCACTAATACCGTGCAACCCTCGTTTCCATACAAATGACCTATCAGCATTTAAACCTGCAACTCCTAGGCTCGTCATCATCCCAGAGTCAACGTCGCACTGATATGCCTTTTAGTCTTGATGCGCTGTTCTAAAAAAGAAATCACCCTGTCGCGTGTGAGGCCAATACTGAGGTACTTTCGAGTTGATTTTAACATTTGTTAGAATGTAAGTTGACTCTTGAAATTGGGAGTCTGGGACAAGAAAATCTTGCAAGCCCGAATTCTGCAACGAGATAATTAATGTTGCATGACGTATTAGCGAAAGTACATGCGAACCCCTTTAGAGAGTACATGGCGCCGACACGAATCAAGTATGGGGCACCGCCAGAGGTTTGTAAACTTAACCCTAACCCCCTACGGTGCAAAGCGGAGGATGGAGAATCTGCTTCGATTATTGTTGTCGTAGGCTTCAACTTGAGTACAAAATATAATTTGCGTATGACACGGAGTGACTGACCCTTTCAAAATCTATATTTCACTGGTACAATAACCAAAAAAAAACAATATCAAAGGGTCACACAGTGCAGCACATGCCCCAATAGAAATCGACTTGGATGAGGATACTCAAAGTGAGCCGGACGTTAACAAATAAATTCGCGAAAAAGTTACAAGTCAAACTTGGAGCCAAATTGAAGTGTGATAACGATATGATGATTTGTCCCCGGTCCGATAGTGACAATCCAACCCAGGCGTCAAGGCTTCTCACCCAGCCCCAGGATAGTTCTGCATCATACGCCTAAGCTCCACTTCTGGAACCCTCGCCTGAAATTCAATAGCGCATGGGACGTTTGGCATAGATGTGTTTGTGAACCCCATGTCATCCTGTGGCTTCGTAGGATCCAGACTGAGCTGAAAGGCCCAAAGAATAAGAAGCGAATTTATGAACACCGATCTGTAACATATCAGATGTGATTCAGGAAATTATGTGGGTGGAAAGAATGACCTGTTCGCAACGTGTTGACCTGGGCATACCCTGGAAGGAAGGACGATCAAAGAAAGTGCATCCCACAAGACAGTACTTACCGCCGACCAAACCCATATACAAAGAATGTGAGATCGTCTCTCAAGCGACCTTGCTCGTCAATCCAGCGCTGGGGCTTGAACGCACCAGGCTCGGGATATACTTCTGGATCTCGAGAGATGGCCCTGAGGCGGTGACAATTGGATATGTCATACCTTGAAGGATATAGACTTACCAGTGGTTTCCGAACACCGTAGTTCCAGCGGGAATGCAATAGTTTTCCTGCCGACAGATGTGATATTATCCTCTCACGGCAAATGATTCAAAAGCACTTGCCCAAATGACGTCTTCAGTAGTTCGGTGAGGGAATCCTGTGGGATGGACTGTGTGAACGTCAGCACAGGACCGACCATCCAGAAACTCACCAAAAGGAGCCAACGGTCTCCATCTCGAAACCTCAGAGATAAAGGCCTCCAGATGAGGAAGGGATGGTTTATCGGCGAAAGTCGGTGCTTTGGTGCAAAATGAATGATTTGACAGAACTACAATATACAATCAAGCTACCTCGCTCTCGTCCGATGACTGCATCAAGCTCGGCCTGTACTTTGGCTTGCTCTTCAGGGAAATGTGCAGCTGCCATTAGCACCGTGCATATCGCTGTAGCAGTCTATCACCCCACCTCAGTGTATACAATCGTAAAAAAAACAGAAAGACACCTTACTGTTTCGGTTCCAGCTCCAAAAAAGGAGCCACAAAGATATGCCATCTCCATCTCTGTCAAGTCGTAGAGATGGCCATTTTCTAGAATGTATCTCGAAAACGAAGGGCCAATATCCTCATTCCTCTGCTGTGGAACAACAACTCAGACCTCATGTCAAGATAGACAAGGCAATGCCTACCATGTGCAGTTTTACACGAGTCAGCTGGTCTGTGTGGAGTTTCCTAACCCTCTTAAAGTCATCTCTTAATTCTGGCGCATACCAAGGAAGGTATTTGAGCCACGGTATCGATTCTACCCAGTAAGCACCGGGGCGCATGACTACACGAAGTCGGGACATGAGGCGGCGAGCCTCCCTAACTTCGGGGTCAGCTGCCGATGTCGGCGAGGTCTTCCCATATGCAACTTTCAGGATCGTCGCTGCGGCATAACTTCCAAGAGCCTGTAAGTCACATACTACGAGACCCCGGCGCCACAGGAAGCCGCTTACGTTATCGCATGGTTCTGAAAGTTGCTTGGATCGTCAAGAATGTTGAGGATTACGGCTCCCGCTTGCGACATCTGCAGAGGTTGATACATCTCGGCTGATTTGGGCTGGAGATGCGTATGGAGTACTCTGCATCGCATCGAGAAGTAACATGAGAGCGGTTTGAGCCTTTACAGTATCGCGACGACAAACCTACGCAGCCGACGGAGCCTGTCCCCAACATGGCAGAAAGCGAGGTCCAGTCCGCGTGTAATAATTTCTCCACCAGCAACCGCGCGAGGTCGATCAGCTAGCGTTCTACCCTGCTTCTCCATTATATCCACTGCGGCCTGTCAGGGAATGTTGAGTTTGGAGATACTAACTTATCATAAAGGGACTAACTTTGTAGCGGCCGATGATCACCATGTTCTGCATTCCTGAGCGGATAGTGATCAGAGGGCCATACTCGTCAATCCACCGCGCCACAGTAAGAAATGGCCTGATCAGAAATGTGATATAATTAGATCCTATAGATGAGGTTGCAGATATGAAACTTCACTCGTGAGGGAGCAGGAAGTGTCCCCGAACTCTCCAAGTTGGAGGAGAAGGTGGGAGAGGAAGGCGGCTATCTGATTTACGAAGGTAAACCCAAACAATCGTTCCTATTACTCCAACACAAGCCGCAACACCGAGGGTGAGCGACATGTTATCAGAAATGCGCAGGTCAGGGAGCTGTAGCATGATCGATTGGAGGAGTTAGGATGGACCTCATCGAAAGTGCATTTAAGTTGTTTTAAATAAGGTTCCCTGCACCAACTCGACGAACAGGAAGAGACAGGTAGTGTCATATCCTATTACGCATTATTCCACTTGCACAGTTGGGGATAAAATGATGGCTCTGTAAAAATACCATCAGCGACTCGAGCGGAACATACTACGACTCCGCCGAAACCGGTCAGGATCTTGTCGAATCTTCGCGACTACCGTCAGGTGAACTAGTATCGGTGGCAATCATGAATCACAATTGGCTTACTCCTTCATGACCTTGTGCACTGGCTGTGTCGACTTTAACACGTGCCGAGTCGTATGATGCCAACGACGATGTGCGGTGGTGTGAGGCACTCATGGCAGGTATAGTGCAGTTCGCTGAGTCTGGAAACCAGACATTTTAAAAGCGGATATCTTTGTGTACAACTGCAAAAAGATACTCACAGTCATGAATGTGTATGCACGTTGCAGGCTAATACAGTTACTGTAATATGGATTACGAGTCGTTTCCCTAAATAAGATAGTAAGCTGGCTGAAACATCCCGGGAGTGTCGAACCCGTGATCGGACTTCCTTTTCGAGGCAAGTCTGGCAATTTATCGAGCGTTTTGCCTGTTGGTATTCCGAAGTAGATAGGCGCTCGCCATGTACAGAATGTTCTTGAAACACAAGCCCGCATCAATTATATTAGACCTCAAGGAGTTATAGAATCACAGCATCACTGGCAGCCAAATACGAGAGTAACGAGCCACGAACCTGCAATTATCTCTAGACCGAAGTACTCGTGTTTTTGTCGGGTGGTTGGGAACGATATAATAGTTCTTATGACTGACCGGATCCGACATTCTTGTCGATCTCAATATGCAGCTCTCACACTCTTTCACCGCACTCGTGGCGCTGTCCTCCCGCACCTACCGCACCTACTCTACCTACAGAGGGTGATGAGTCTAGCAAGCGCGAGGAGATGAGCAAGGTGCCGATCCGGAACCTGCCGGAGAAGTCAACACCATTGACCAAGACGCTGTTAACTCTGTCGTTCTAAACTCTCGTTTCCGTATAAATGTCCCATCAGCATTTAAACCTGCAGCTCCTAGACTCGTGATCATCCCAGAGCCAACGTTGCGCTGATATGCCTTCCAGTCTTGATGCGCTGTTCCAAAAAAGAGTAGGGTGCGGGTCCCAGAAAGGAGCGGGATTGGTGTCAAGAGTTATGGGCAGGATGTAAAGATCGACAGTTGAAAGATGGAGAGCCGAATTCGACAGTCAAACATCACTCGAATACCTATAAATTCACTCATTTTACTACTCCGTCGCGTGCGAGGCCAATACTGCAGTGAGGTACTTTCGAGTTGATTTTAACATTTGTTAGAAAGTAAGTTGACTCTTGAAATTGGGAGTCTGGGACAAGACAATCTTGCAAGTCCGAATTCTGCAACGAGATGAATGTTGCATGACGTATTAGCGAAAGTACATGCGAACCCCTTTAGAGGTACATAGCGCCGACACGAATCGAGTATGGGCTCCATACTGATACTGGTGATTACTAGCCTGAAACAGCAAAGATGAACAGACGACTGGTGCAAGTAAGAATTATGGGAAGCTAACGGCCCCCGACAGGAGGCGCACCACGCCCCCTTGGACGTCCCCCTCGTCGTCCATATCCACCCCAACCTCCGACATAAGCGCCCGGACCCATCAGTCCTACGCCCCCAGGCTCACCAAATGTAGCCACGTTACGCTCTCTTTCTTCCTCCCTACGGTTCCTGCCTCCACCACCTCGCCGTCCACCGGTGCCTCGTGTTGGTGGCGGAGCAGCTTGAGTTGAAGATGATAAAGAATCGAAAAATGATTTCGTTGGGTTATAAGCCAGGTCGTCTTTCTCATCCTTTTTGTCCGTCGGCGAGTCACGGTCGGACGAAACGCCATTCTCAGTATCGCTATCCTTCTTCTTTGGTGCAACCGCCGTCTTGTCGAACCGAGCGTTCGAGCTCTGGAAATCGAAATCCGTTGAAGGCACCTTAATATCTTTTGTCTCTCCACCGTGACCGTGATGACCACCACGTCGGCCACCACGACCTCCATGCGCGGGCGCCGTATTTCCGGATCCACGCAAGTCTCCCAAAGCGCGTTGAACTGTTTCCATTGATGCAGCGGCAGTGTGTACCGAACTGACACGACTCGGGCCAGTGCTAGGACCTGGGGCATCGGTCGTTTGCACGACTGGGACCGTCGGGGGAGCTGGCGCATCTTGCACCGGCACAGGCTGAGGATAGGCAGGAGCCTGAGCTTGTGGTGGTGGGGGCTGGGCTACGACAGGCTGTTGGTATTGAGGACCGTATGCACCGTACTGGGGTTGAGTTCCTGGAGCAGACGCCTACCATACTAGATTATTATGGTGTGTTCAGGTAGGGAAAAATCACTCACCCCCAGCACCGCAGGATCGTCGTGAACACTACGAAGACTCGGAGGAGCTGGTTCATCAACTGCAAGATCTTTGACCTCAGACGCGCGGAAAATTATGTATTGGTATGGTTCTTGGACGGGAGGAATGAATTCTGAGGGTGGCCTGACGCGAGTTTGATGTCAGATTACGCGTCGTGAGGAGAAGGCGAGGCAGAAAATGGCGGTGTCAGAACAAGAACAATGGCTCACCTTCTCGACTCTGTACCCATAGAAAACACTAGAAACCATATAAGACCAACTGAACAACTGCAGAAAGCGAATCTCACCATTTGAGAGTTGGATCGTGGAAGCAGCGGGGTCAATACCCGCCAGTATTCCTCGATACCGTACATCAGAGTGAGATATGAGAGAAATTGGTTTTCTGAGCAGTAGTGATCAGAACCAATTGCGAAATGAGTATGAATCTACATACCCTATAAAGCTCAGTGCCATGGTTGTTGTCAAAGGCTAGAATTGCAAGAATTGCTTTCTGTGTATTTCGTATCACCGCCGCTCGAACTCGGCCTTTTTGAGTCGGAGCTTCAATCGGTTCAACACGACCTTCCTACTTTGGCGGCATGACACTGACAAGTCAAGTGGCAGTCCCGCCAGGGGCACATTAACTATCTACAGGATGGGAGAGGCGATCTGCATTTGCGCTTGACAGTTCATTGGTCGCAGGTTGCAACTGTAGAGCAAAGAGTATCGACCTGAAGGGTATAATCATCTGTGAGTTTCAAGTCGATCTCCATTGAATCAATAATCATTGATTTTAGTGACCAAACAGATCATCGTATGATTTAATGTCGAAGTTTGCGGTGCTGAACGCTGCAAAGTTGATGTCCCAATGTTTCATGGGCCCTCAGAGCACTGCTGATGTCATCTGTCCACAAGTTGGCTTCTCCACCATAGGCTTCGGAACTTCGGAAGCGCTGAAGTAATTGTAATTGAGGACATCAATCATGCGTTTCAACAAATTGCAAAATATGTTCTAGGTAAGTCCGAGGCCTGAGTGCGGCACTCATCGTGTTGAAGGCCATAGTATGAATCGTATAGCTTTGAACATCTTCCTTCATACCACGATTCGAACTCGTGACCATCGGTGCATTCTAGAGCTGTCGTATATTTACCGGTGGTTTTTCTACAGTTTGAAACCAAAAAACTATATCCTTTCATGATACCGGCGGGAACTTGAACTTGAGGACAGACCGCTTAAACTTTTAAATAAGTGTGCTCTCCGAATTATGGAGACACGCATAATACCGTCAGGCACCGAGACAAGGATACTACAGCCTCAAAGAGGCCTGTACACTAACCTACAGTTATGGTGCGATGCTAGTATAAGTATGTGAGGGATAGGAAATGCAATAAAAGGCTACATGCGCTACGTGATGTGTATGTGATCACGACCTCTCCAACCTTCCTGCCACCCCTTCCGCCTCTCCTTTAGCCTGTCCAAAGTCTGGATCCACAGATGTCACACTCTTTTGTCTGGTGTCAGCAGGTGTCACCACGGCGCTAAGAGCTGGATCTATTGGGTCTGACGGAGGTCCAGACGTCGTGGTTGAAGTCGGCGTGGAAGTCGTGGCAGTTGTAGAAGTATCTGGATTAAAATTGCGGAAAGGGGACGGTGCCACTAAAGGGCGATGGAATCGAGCACGGAACTCACTGGGGTGGGGCTGAGGAGGTTCCCCAAACCCACTGCTAGCAGGGTCGGCCATATCAACATTTGGAAATGGGGCACCCGATGGTCCAGGAATAGAGCCGTCTGCAGCTTTGGCTGCAGCTTGTTGGGCATAGTGCATACGACGCTAGTATCGGGTGAGTTATTTTGGCAGTTATAAAATACAGTGGTTCGTACTTGATGATCCCATTGATCAAAGGCTTCTGCTATGACTGGTTCCAAGGAAGCAAGTTCCTCGCTCGTGATCGCCAACGTCCTTAGAAGGTGTTGTTTAAGAAGGGGCGCGCATGAAAAAGATAGGAGTAACGTCGAAGCAAAATTTTGTCCGCCGGTAAGTTGTGGAGGCGGTGCTTGAGGGAAGGACGGGTCTTGCGGGTTCATTGGATGCGGCTGGTGTGGCATCTCATGGGGAAGAACCTGTTGATACTGGCCGTCTCCGTTTACTCTGTACTCTTCCATCCCCTGCATCATATCATTGGGCATATCCAGTCCCAGTTCCCGCATCTTCCGCTGCTTAACAAGACTCCGGTGTTTACGTTGCCGTTCTCGGGCGGCGGCCCTGACTCTTTCGCGCCTAGAAAGTTCCTCAGGCGTCATTTCTTGACCGGTAAAAGTCGGAGTGGGTGGTTGAGATGGCTGAGGCTGGGGAAGAGCCTGGGCATCCGTGGGTTGTGTAAATGCCATTATTGCATTGATGTTATTGACAGTACGATCACGCTCGCGTTTCCTGCGCTGCCGCTCCGCAGCCTTCTCTCGTTTTTGCCTTTGTTGGGGCGTCTCATTTTCTCGCGAACGTCTACGGGCAGATGAAACTGGTGAGAGGGTGCTCTGTGATGGATTATGATGAGCCCCTGGGTCCATAGCATGCATTGTCCGGATGTGACTGAGCCTTGGATGTGACGCTTGTTACGGCGCCTTCAGCGAAGGTGACCGTCGTCGTGACAGAGAGTGACGAAGGAGAAACCAAACAGGGTTACGCACACCAACCACACCGGACTGATGAGCGTGAGAAGAAGTTACTAATATAAGCGGTTCTCAAAGTTGACTTCGTAGAATTTTGGAAGGTCAGAAATTTGCGCGTTGCCGGTAGTATTGAAGCTCCGACGCTGACAAACAAACCCTAAGCTTTCAAGCTGTACCATCTGCTATAGCGTTCTGCAGCTCCATCAATATGCCCCGTGAATCAGATCGAAAGAAGCTGCTTCGCAGCCTCAAACAAACCAGAAATGACCTTACCATCGCGCAATATATGGAACTAATCGAGTTTATGATAGATCAGCTACTAGATGAAGATAGGGATTAGCACGGGTATACCCCGGGGTATATGCATTGACACCCGCACCCACACCCATCAATATACCCACACCCGTACCAGGGGTGTGGGTTTTCATGTGGGTACCGAAGATAGACACCCATACCCGTACCCATGGAGGGTACACCCGCGGGTGACATTGAATTAGTACTACGAAAACAGCAATTGTAGCTACCCTAACTGTATTTGGTCCCATCCTTCCTCAAGTTCTAGCTCCTCGTCACCTACAACATCCGTGAGGTTGCTAACAGCTAAAACATCTTCGTTCTTCACCAAACCCAGCCGGCTCCAGTAGCTCAAGCACAAGAGGGCGCGAGTGGACTGCACATTTAAGCGAGAATGGACATGTGATAGGACAAGGCGGCCACGGCTGAAGAGCTGTTCAACATCCACCGAAGTAGCTGTGATCAGTGTTAGAAATCATTCGAAACGAGTGAGAAAGCTGCACGTACCAGGTATAGTGAGGTAATCTAAAGCCATACGAGACAGGTGAGGGTATAATGTGCGCCGGTTGTGCCACCAAGCAAGGGCATTGGGTACATCTTCGATGCCTGCATTGAGGTATCGGTCAATTTCACTACCAAGGTCGGAATTTTTTGGGGCAGCGAGGGCTGGCATGTTATCAAATATGTTGTCCTGATATTTGTGTTAGTACAGCGCATGGTTGGGAGATACCACAAAACTCACTGATGTGGCTGATGGAATGACCATGCTGTCATTGTTGGATTCAACCAGGGAGGAGTCTAAGTACAACCGCTCGAACTCATCCCTCAGCAGCTTCTCGGCGGCATCAATCCACTCATTCTCCCAATTCGCCACCTTGAAATACACAAGTTTATGACGTGGGTGAAGTACTATTGTGAAAACAAAGGTTAGAAAATGAACAGTAGTATCAATTGACTTACTCATCGCAATACGGTACACATCAGAGTGGTCCGTCAATTGATAGTAGCGATTTAATGTTTTTTTGGCCAGTCCCACAGCGGCACGAATCGCAGGAAGGTATTTGTCGTCAAGAGAGTATGTAGTTAGTTTTTCATCCATTAGATCCATGGCTGGTATTACGGTGGCAAGATTGGGGACAGCGCGTGAAAAAAACATGGTGGCATCTTTCAGAATCTGGGGTAAGTTTCAGGTTTCAGCGTGTACATTGCTTACAAATACTCCACGCACCTTCAGCACATCCCGCAGCTGACCAACAATCTTCCACTCATAGTCCATCAGCTGCTTCTCGTCAAGTGCAGCCTTGGCTTTCCCAGTTAGTTTGGTAATCCGTTTAGCGGCAGAATGGAAGGGGTTTGGCTGCATGACAGTAGGGTGTGTTCTTGATTTAGAGTTTAGAGTTAGAGTTCGGAGTCAGAGTTTGCATGTATGACTAAAGCATGGTCATGTGGTATGATGTAATGTAGCTCGTTTGGACCCACATTCTACATGTAACATGATAGATGGAATCAACATAGATGACAAAGATAGTATTATTGAAAATGAAGTTGTTGGCTATTCAACCTAGGCATACCATTCACTGAGACCACTACTAGCATATTTGACAAAGTTGAATCACATATCACAGTGCAAAGATAATTTTTTTGCCTACATACCCACTGTGTGGGTGTGGGTAGGGGTGTGGGTATCCTAAGTGCCTACCCCCACCCATACCCCAGAGGTACCCACACCCACGACCCACGTGGGTTGAGGATACCCATGCTAATCCCTAGATGAAGACGACGATGAAGACGATGATAAGGAATCTGACGACGCTGTCGATGGCCATAGTGGCTCGGATATTAGTATACGGTCCGCATCACCAACATGGCCAACGTCCCCAGTGTCCCCCACGTCGTCGATCGCATCTGCCTTGTCAAACAACTCTCTGACGTCACTCTCCACAGCGTACTCCGAATTCATATCGCGCGATATCCCAGATATGTGCGAACGAGTCTTTACTCAGTTTGCCGATGCAATCACTGCACTGCATGACGAGGTAGAGAAATGTCGAGTCCTTGATGTCCGTCCGTCTCTAAGTCGCGCGCCTCAGCTACACTTGCTGGAGGAGTGGGCTCTATTCTCACCTGAAAAATTCCGTCGCAAGCTCCGTGTTGACGCGGACGTGTTTGATGAACTTACGAAGTTGATTCAAGGACATGCCATCTTCTACAACAATTCGAATAACCCCCAGCTCCCTGTCCCAATACAGCTCGCCATTTTTCTCAACGGCGCTGGCCATTATGGCAATGCCGCAACCACTGAAGACATCTCTGACTGGGCTGGAGTGTCCGTGGGGACCGTCTACAACTGCTACAAACGGGTGATGATCGCAATCCTTCAACTTCATGACCGGGCCATTCATTTTGATCCGCTTGATCACGAGGATCAAATTGAGCGAGAGCGGGCGAAAACTTACGTCGAAAGTAAGACGTGTCATGAATGGCGTGGAGGCTTTCTTTCTGTAGATGGGACTCCGTCCCCCTTACACGAGAAGCCAGGTTGGCATGGGGAGGGTTTCTTCGACAAGAACTCAGACTATTCTCTAACAGCGCAGGTAAGTGTCAGTTCGATGTGCAGCGTGGTGACTTACCATCAAAAAGGTTGTTATATTCCCTCATAATCTTCGTATCGTGGACTATGTCATTGGCGTACCTGGAAGTCTCCACGACTCAAACGTATTTGCGCGGACAAGAGTTTCCCGGGATCCTGAGTCGTTTTTCGGTGCAGGAGAGTGGCTGTGGGCAGATTCGGCGTACGCTGCGCGAACCTGGTGTGTGCCGCCATATAAACGGCCAGTGGGAGGGAGTTTGACGCTGGACCAAAAGACGTTCAACTATAACCTATCAACAGTGAGTATGAATGGCAATATACATTCATAGTACTTACCCAACATCTAGGTCCATGTTCGTTCAGAGCATTTTTTCGGCTCTATCAAGGGCCGGTTCCAATCACTGCGGGAGCTTCGCATCCCAATCCAAAGTCAGAAGGACCTCGACTATGCAAACATGTGGATCCGTTTGTGCTTTGTTCTGCACAATCTAATCGTCGAAATCGAAGAAAAAACACACCATGAAGACACGAATGTCTGTTTCTATCAGCAAACTCAGAGGTTGAGGCGGGCTGATGGTGATGCAGGAGAGGATGATCAGCAAGGGGGTGGTGCAGTAGGTGATCAGACTTACATTGGAACTGCAGGGCAGGATTTTCGCAACATGTTAAAGGCGCGGTTGCTTTCCTCATTGGAGCGAATCGCAACACATTAAAGATGTGTTTGTCAAGTAGAAGTTCTTCATCCTCCTTAGCACCTAACCTTTGTCAAGTAGAAGTTCTTCGTCCTCTTTAGTACCCAACGAGGGAAATTTGCGCTTGAGCTCAAAGCGCTTATCCCAAACCTGTAGTGTTTGCTGTGTGTAGTCACGCTTGAGATCGAGTACAAAATGGCATGCATTTCCGAGTCCTAAAAACGAGTCGCATGATGACACAGTACAGACCTACTTCAGTTTTGATCAGAACCACGTAGTGCTGCCGCGGTCCGGTCCAGAACCACGGTTCGAACCGGACTTTTGGTCCAGTTCTCTGTGGTTCGGTCCATGGTTCCCTCACCAGCCAGAACCGGACCGGAAAGTGGTTCTGGGTTCTGGACCTTCACTAGTGGTCCGGTTCTGGTTCGACTTTCCCGAACCTTCCCGAACCGTTCCTTGACCTTCGAATTCCCTCGACTTCGACACCAACCACGACGACATCGGTGTCCATGTCGACATCAAAACACCGTCTTCGAGATTTGCATTATTTGTTAATCAGGCTACTGTTAGCCTTTTTGAAGGTAAGTACTAATCAATTTATTCTCAAGACTCTGACATATGTTTACCTATATCACAGATATCTACTTGTTCTAGTCTATATGCTTCCTGGATAGTCATGATCCTCCACCGGTTCTCAACTCTAACAGATCTCCTTGGATATTGTCGCTCTGTGGTGTTAGGCTATGTGCCATGCATAAAACGGGGTGCCGACCAAAAAACTGTGAGTTATTTGCCTGACGATGTCTGAAGACTGCTGTGCTCTGAACGCTGACGGCACCCTCAAGGATGCTTCTGAAATTACCTTTTTTAATGATCCTGATGATAAAGTACCATTGCCCCAGGTCGCATCTTCTGCCCAGCCATCCTCTTCCACTACATCCGCAAAGGACGCCTTCTCTGTTCTGCTCAAGGCTGGATGCACCCCAGCAACAGTTGCAGCTGGATCTAGGCGCTCTGGCCGGCCCTCAAAACCATCAGCTCGTATTCGCAATGCTGACAATGCCTGCGGTCTGTCTTCGTCAACTAACCGAAGGAAACGTGCTTTATCTAGTGCTACGGATCATCCAGCCCCCAAGAAAACTACCATGCGAATCTTATCCCCTCTTGACTCCGAAGATGAAGACATACCCTCTACACCTGATCTGGGAGAGTCGTCTGCTGACGAGCTGATCCCCCAACCAGAGGACGACAATGAAGTTGATGAATCTAAATCCGAGAACAGGTGCACCGCTTCGACTGTATGTACTCGTTTATTGTCTTCCTTGAGTCTCGACTAACACCTGTATTTAGCTTTCAAAAAGCGAACGCACAGCGGACGTTAGGACTATATTTACCTGTTTACCTGATGGGTGGGTGTGTACACTATGCAAGTAAGTGGTCCATATTGTTTTTGATATATTGTTTAATAACTTTCAAACAAGGTCCGCTGGTGAACCAGTGCAGAAGCACACCTTTCGTGGAGGTACTTCGACACTTCGCACACATATTGTCCGCCACAAGAAGTCGCATTTTCAAGTCTACAAGGAGCGTTGTGAGGCCGCAGGCATCACAATGCACTCTCGTGCGATCCCACCTGGAGAAGACAACATCATGACACAATCGCAAACAACTCTCGATGGCAAGCTTGTTTGCAAACCACCTGCGTTCACCAAGGAAGGGTTCCTTGAATATATCATGGAACTTATCGTGACGGAAGACGACGTACATTTATATATATATATATTTGCATCAATTTATTTACATCACACCAGGCAATACAATTAATTGACAAGCCAGCGTTTCGGCGTTTATTACAGTATGCGCGTCCCACCCTGACTGAAAAGGACATTCCGCATCGCATCAAGTTAACGGAAACTATCAAGTCTCGAGCAATGACCGTGGTTGAAAACATCAAGGAGCGTCTAGCGGTGAGTCTTGACCTACTTATATTATGGCATCAGTCTTAAAATATTTCATCAGCATATTGACAGTGCGGTGTCCATGACATTCGACTCATGGACATTGATAATCGGCGAACCATTTTTTTCGGTCACTGGTCATTATATTTGGAGCCCTGCCGGCAAACCACTGCAGTGGGAGCTGAGAAATGAGCAACTTGATTTCATGCGGATCGAAGGCAACCACAGCGGCCTCAATATCAGCAATATACTCGTTAGGACAATAGACAGGTATAATATTCGCAACAAGGTATGTTTTCCAGAGTCTGGCTTCAGCTGTGGATTGACTTCGATTGCATAGGTTGGATGGATGACGTCGGACAATGCCTCAAATAATGATACCACTATGAATGAAGTTGCAAAGGCCATAGACGAGGATGGGACCCACTGGCTTCCAGGTCCCCGCCGCATCCGCTGTCAAGAGCACATCTTGAATCTTGCGGTGCGACATTTTGTTGATGGAGTCGCACCCACCCCACAGGCCACATTACTACGCAAGATTCGTCATGCTATTGATCATGATGAGGAAACTGACATCACTAGCTTGACTGCACAACTTGCGGCATTGGAACACGACCCTGATGCTATTGTGGAGGACGGTTTCGATGTTGGCGATGCTGTTGGAAAAGCACTGGCACTCATTGAACAGGTAAAGTCCTCTTTTTTTGTCTTTGAGTTCTCATTGACGCAATCAATAATTAGATCCGCAAATCACCACAAGCTCAAGCATTTTTCAAAAAATCATGTGAGGAGGAAGGTGTTGCTGTTCGTGAGATTTTGTCATGGGTGAGAACGCGCTGGGCGTCCTTATTCAAGTGCCTCGAGCGCTTCTTGTCCCTTCGCCTGGTAAGTCAGACATACAATCACTGGTTTAGTATCTAACATCTTTCAGGCTGTCAACCGCTTTACTCTGCTTGCCGACGAAAGCCACGAAGTCCCAAAGTTGCGCAACAAGGCATATAGCGACTTCAAGCTTGATCGAGCCGACTGGAGAAAGCTACGGCTAGTGCATGATGTCCTCAAGGTATTTATTTGTATATTCATTTTTATTTTATTTACTTATTGTTATAGGAACCTGCGACTGCACAGCAATCGTTCTCTTCGGTCGCGTACCCAACAGCCTGGCAGACCATACCCACGCTAGAGTGTCTCGCTAGCACGTGGGGGGCAATGGCCGGAAATCCAGAATATGCAATCATCGCGGACGCCATTACGAAGGGTCTCAAGAACGTCGAGAAGTACTACCAGAAAGCTAGTGACTCAGACGTCTACTTTATCTGTCTAGGTGAGTATCTTTTTTTTTTGCTTAAGTCCATGTCTCATTTTGTTACAGTTCTTGACCCTAACTATAAGTTAGCATACGTCGAACAGCGATGGACTGTGACAAAGGTCGCAAACGGGAGGGCTCGTTTTGAGGCAGTGGTGAGTACTATTCAAACTTAAGTACCCTACCGGTCTCTAACTCCAGATGTATTCTTAGTTTGACAAATATTATCAAGCGCCTCCAGCCCCAGGACCACATCCCAAGGAGCCAGAGGCCACGTCATCAACAATGAAAGCTTCGATTTGTTATGGTGCTTCCTGGATGCGCGACGCTATCATGGAACGTCAAGCTACAGACCATCGCACGTGCGATCCTCATCAAGAGCTCTCTGCATACCTTACTTCACCATTGGAGGAGACTGATGATGTTGTGGCATGGTGGGGTGTAAGTCAGCCCTCAAATTCATTGTTCCCCGCTTACATTCTTGATTAGTTACATTCGCTGCAGTACCCAACACTAGCTCGTGTTGCGCGTGATTACCTGCCCATTCAAGGCAGTTCTGTTCCCTCTGAACGCGCTTTCTCCAGCGCGGGCATCACATCAACTCTGTGCCACAACGCACTCGCATCATCCACTTTCTCCGCGCTACAATTGATGAAGGCAGCCTATAAGAATGGACATGTGTCAGCAGCAGTAGAGGCAGAAGGGTATGCAGTTGGTATGCAGTTAGACTAGCTACCCAATGTCATGTAGATGTCTTGTGAATGTTTTTTCCATTGCTTGAAAAATTTTCGGTTCGGTTCGCGTTCGGACCAGACAAGAACCGGACCGGACCATTGAGAACCGTTCTCAATGGTCTGGTTCTGGGTTCGACAATTTTAAAGAACCGAACCATGGTTCGGTTCTTGGTTCTTGTCAAGGACCCTCTGAACCGGACCGAACCGGACCACGGCAGCACTAGAACCACACTCCATAGCAATACGACGAATCCGAGCCTCCTCCTCTTCTCGACGTGCACGAGATAGCTCAAGCTCGAGTCTTGCAAACTCGATTTGTTGAGTCATCCTCTCCTGCTGGTGGAGATGGTCTTGTTCCGCAAGACGCATCACATGCTCCCGCTCATCACGAGCACTGCGGGCCTTGAGATCACGAGCCCAAATGTCGCCCTGAAGTTTCATACGTTTGTAGCTTTCGTGCTCGACACGACCCTCACGTTTGCTCTCAAGGTGCTTCATTAGAGAGTCTGCCATTTGGGACATTTTTTCTGCAGTGGCAGAGGTCTGGTCAAGAGCACTGCCGCCAGGGCGTTTGCGTGATGAAGAGGGGGGACGACTAAACTGAGGTGATGCACTTCGAGTAGGTGGACAAGACCGTTTTGTAGCAAGAGAAGGTGAACTTTCACGACTTCCCTTAAGCGAGCTGACACGGAGAGACCGCAGTGCTCGGCTGGCACCAATATCCGAGTCTTCTGAGTCGATAGGCGTAGACTGATAGCTAGGTGAAGATTCCCTAAAATCGGAAAAAACAGACAATGGATTATCGGGGGCACTGCGATTGGGTACTGGCGAGCGCTCAGGAGAGTTCAACGATACCACTCCAAGTGCGTCAGAAGTTGAGATGGGAGGGAGCTGAGATCGTTGGAACCAGCATCAGGAAATTGGGGAGTCGGTGGTATGACTAGGCGGAGTTGATAAATCTTAGTCAGTCAGCGAAGTGTTGGTCAGCCTAGATAATATACGATAATGTATTGCCAGGGAAGTGCCGGACTGATAGAGGATGATCAAGTCTATGTCGACCAGTTGAATAATAGTCAGACTTGATAATCAATTATAACTGGTTGTCATGCGAGTGTCAGGTTGACAGAACATGATCAAGTCTTTGCCAACTAGTCAAGTAATAACCGGACTAAATAATACATTATAAGTGGTTGTCAGACCAGCGCCAAATTGACGCTGTCAATGTCATCTTTGATTAAGATGCATTTCCCCTATTTCCAGTTTTCAGAAACAGTCGGTGGTCGGACTGTGTTATCAGCTAGAACGTCACAAGTAACAGAGGGTGCACAGCAAGTGGGGCTCAGAAGTCAACGTTCAGAGTGGAACGTTGAACTCGCAGTCAATAATATCCGGTTATCCGCCGTACAGTCATCCGATTTAAAGGCACAACTTATCTGACATACTGCAGCGTCTGGCCCAAGCCTCAGTTGCATGTCGGATGATTTGGTTCCAACTTGCAAGGGCAATGTTCACAAGTTTCAGCGCAAAAGGATAAGAAACCATCCAGCTCGGAGTTACCTATACCACTTATCACCACTAACACTCAGGAAACTTAACATTACTGAATCAACAATTTCCGACACCGTCAATCTAAATAGTCCTGTGGATAGTAAAACAACACATTTCAAGCCGACTCGTAACAGACTTTTACATGCGAATAATGAGCTGCTTGATCGCCGACATCCACAAGCCAATGTCGTCTGTCTGCGAGCCACGAGTGAGAAGGTCGACATGTATAGACAATGCGGCATCTCGGTCATGCGCCTCCATGGCTGTCAAGCAACCCTTGAATCAGGATTGCCCAAGCGTATTGATCGGAAACACGTACCTCTGGCCAAAACAAGCAACTGGTCAACTACAGGCTTGGATAATGTTTCACAATTCAAAGCATCGAATAGAGAATTGATCCGGCGCTGAAGGTCATCGGGCATTCGTCTTTGTTGGGGCTATGGAAGATTGTCAAAGAAGAGCTTCAATCACAGAAGACAATCACGTACTTGCGTCGTCTGCTTCATCCGTGTGAGTTGCTCGTTAATGATATTGAGGATGGGTAACGCAGACTCGTGGATATGAGCCCGGTCTCCAGGGGCTAGAAATTAATAATCCACTATGTGTCTGCACTGCCTTCACGCATCAGACTGCTCTGGAATTCCAGCCTACTCCCAAGTTGCTCCGCAAGGTTCGAAAACTCCTCCTGGCTCGCAAAGGTGCACAGCACCACAAATATCTCCTGCCATTCTCGCAGGTCGGCATTCTGTACGATGTCCGAGAGATCATTGATGACGATGCTCTGGAATAAACGAAGATAGGGATATGAGGTGGTACGCCGTTCGAAGTAAGCCTTCTGGGTGCGTTGAAGAAGATCTTCGCCACCCTTGATCGCGAGTAGGATAGCGTCCGCGTAGCGTTCGGCAGAAAGACACAACGAAACAGCAGACTCGAAGTCGCCAAGCACCAGTGCTTTCGTCACCAGCCCATCCATCTCACTCTCGTCAGAGGGGTAGATCTTGAACGTGTTCTTCAGGTTCTTATTTGCTACACTCGAAGGACCAGACCCAATGGTAGCAGCGACACTTGAATCAAGACCATAGTTATGATGAGGCACTTCGAGTTCGGGCGCAGCACCGATTGTGCTGAAGAAGTCAGCACCTGTATCCATCTGGGGTGTACCAAGGGCACCTTCATCACCAAAGAGACTTGGAGCAGTAGTCGTGGATTCACCATCTGTGACCTGGACGGCGTCGGATGCAACGCTGGCGCTTACCTCCGAAGGCGTCTTTTCAACACCCATTGTCGACAAATCCTCTTCACTGCCATCGTATTGTGCTTCTGGTTCTGCAAAGGACACCACTGGCTCGTGGGGTTTCGCTAGGTCCGCCCCAGCTTCATCCACGCTATGGTGCAACCTCCTTCAGCTTCGCAACCGCTTCCTCAACACGCCCCTTGATCTCCTCTTTAGAGTAACCTAACAGCGTGACAAGTTCGTCCCTCGAATTCGCACGGAACAAACTAAAGAGGGCCTTCCAGCCATCTTCACCAGCTTTCTCCGAGCGTACCCGCTCTTCTGCGAATGTGCTCAAGGTATTGGTATCCACAGCTTGTTGTAACTTTTGCGCCCGGTCGACAATATCTGTTTCTGTGATAACTTTTCGGATGTGCACTACGCTGCTCTGGTTTTTCCCTGAGGCTGCAGGTAAATTACCAACGCTGACGAGTTGCCCGCCGAACCCAAACGAACAGGAAGATGGGCGGCGGAGCCACTTGGGTGGTTGTTTGAGACTGAGCGTCGGAGCCGTGGTACGGGAGTGACCTGGCACGTCAAAC